CTTCCAACCTAAATGATTCTATGATGAGTTTCTCGTTGCATATATTTTCTTTTGTGTCCTACCTGACCAGCCGCCTGAATACTCAAAATAGCAACCCGGGTATCAGGATCCTTCTGGAACTGATTAACAAGGTGAATTCTTTCTGCAGAAGGAACACTCCCATCTATTCGTATGTAGCGAACCTATAACACATCATAACAGAGACAAAATGACATTATCAGCATCCTTTTTTTGACCCAATCATCCTCTGTCCCCCAGTGACAATATGAAAGTATCTGTTCTACTCCAGCCACAGGGACAGGGATGCATCAGCACCCTTCAGCCCTCTGATTTACAATTAAGCCCCCATCTAGAGAGGTGCAGACTTAGTATCTCCTTTGTACAAAGGGAGAAGACAGAACAAACATGGGATCTTAAAGTGGAATGCTCTGCAGAAGAATTTGTCATTTTGTTGACATGATATATTAAAAATTTAAGCAGTTGCATAATAGTAGCAATATAAAATAGCAAAGTTAGCCACTGTTCCCTAGCATGGTTGGGGGTCCATGCTCAAGATAACATGAAGATTGTTTGCAACCATTTGTACTGCTTTGATTTAAACGTTCAGGTAGGATGATAATGTTCTGTGAAAACAAAGACAAAAAAAAGGAGAAAAAAAAAAAGGTAGACAGAAGCATATTGGGAGAAAAACTTGAAAAACAACTGCCTACAGCATTGATTCAATAATAATAAAATATCATACCAGATACATGTTTACATTACCCTTACATACAAAACAGCTCTTCAAACCCACACGATCCCTTTTAATCCAGCAGCACTGATGTGTATATACCTAAAAATCCATAATATCATGTACACACAGGTAGTTCTACTCAATTCAAACACAGCTTACATGCATTTGTAAAGTCTGAAGTTAGATTTGTGTGTCCATTGGTTAAACTGTTACCTTGCTTTCTATAACTGCCTCTGTACAGGCTTGAAGCATGCTTAAGTGATGAGCGAAAACTAGAAACTTCAATTTGTCATTTTCAAGCATCATTTTGATATAGTCCTTTACTGCTCCTGCCTGCAGTAAGAGAGTGTGTTAGTTAGATATACAAAATGTTCAAAAAGGACAGTTTTTATTTTTATGTCTTTCAGTTTCTTGTAATATGAAAAGGTAAATTTCCATACTTTGTTATCCATTTAAGATTTTATCAAACACTAACATTGTTACATATAAAATTCTTAAAATTAGTTTTGTTTATGAAAATAACATCATTTCTTTAAGAAAGCTATCTCAGTCCTTCAGAGAAAAATCCCCTGTACTCAAAAGATCACTTAATTACATGGCACTTCTTCCAGATTAAGATGTAGATAAAACTCCTATTAGTTACAACATCATTATCTGTGGTTTTATGCCATATTAAAAATAAGACACAACACTGATTTCTGCACAAGCATATTTCAAACAGACAAGGTACTGTTTAATCAGTATGTGGGTACAGATACAGAAGTAAAGTCATATATCAAAATTGAAAGAATAATTTTGATACTTTCATGATACTGTAACCATAACATATTGCTCTATTTAAACATTCATAGAGTTCCTTTGTGTCAAAAATAATTTTCAATATCTTTTACAAAAACTATTAAAGTAATGATGACAGTTAATAACAAAATTTATCAGTAATCATTGGTTAATGCAATGCTCACTGCAGCAGTCCTCAGCTCTCTTTCTTTTCTTTCTTTTTTTGTCTTTTAACTTCCTGTTTGAAAATGGATTACTAGAGGGGAGAGACTAGAAACATGAGGAAGAAACAGTACCAGAACCACAGTGATATTTTTAAGATAAGAACAAAAAAAAAAAATTAAATTTTAAGGAGTTGGTCAGTTTCTCAACTCTGACTACTCCATCAGCCTGCAGAACTTTCTTTTCCCCCTGTTTTTTTCCAAAAAGACATATTTAGTGCTCTTAGGAAGCTACATCTGGATGGCCTCAGCCAGCTTAGTGACCACCTAGTCAGTACTGGTTTCAATATGTAGCTCAGGTCATTATAATGGAGTTCAACCTATTCTATATACACACAGGAAAAAAGTGTGTTTCTCCATGCTGCAATTATAAACCTATCCAACCAATCTCATCTAGTATTCAGAGTAATTCAACTAATTTTATTAAGTTAAAAGCACACTATGTATTTTAAATACATCAAGAAATTACTTCCATGCTTACCTTGGCAATGGCTGTTTCTTTATACATGCGTGTGATCAGATTCATGACCTGAGAGAAGTGGCTTTCAGTGGCTTCGGAATTCAGATTTCGCATCAATTTCTCCCACTCCGCAAAAGTGGCATTCAAATTCTGATGGGCAGAAGAGATCAGAGTTTGGACATACAGTACAGAGCATGTTCTCCCTCACCCAACATGTACATAACAAGCATGGAACATTTAGGAACCATGTACTTTTGAGAACTTCATAAAATTTGGCTAAAAGTGACTATAGAATTCAAAATTTAAGGGAAAGGAAGAAGATCACACTAAAACTAGAGCACGTTTTATCATTATCTGAAGCTAGAAAAATGCTGTATTTATGTTCTTCATGTTATATTCTAAAAAGAGTAACAGATGCTATGCTATATATGCACACATTCTTAGCAACTACATATAATACTCATGCATACTTATAAATACATATGCACACAGAGATATTACTATTTACTAACAAATGTGTTTTTAGGAAAAGTGGAAAATTTACCTTAGCTGCAGCTTGGGGGAGATCAAATGGAATACGTTGCCTAACTTTGGGAGGCAACTGAGTTAGAACATCATTCTTCAGTCTTCTGATCATAATTTCACTTAAAAGTTGATGTAGTTCTTCTAGATTTGAAGCTCCTCTACAGTCCCATTGAGTTCTTTTACCAAAAAATCTGAAAAATCAGCACTGAAGGTAACAACTTGCTCTTCCAAATTCAATAGAAACATTCAGTACATAATTAATTTTTAATCACACTATTAGATATGAAGGTATGTTGGATAACAACACCTGGTGTCCCTGTTGACACCAGAGAGATGACTGCTTTCTGTCTTGATTCCTTCCAATGCTGAAGTCAGAGCTGTTTCAACTTCCCAGCAAATACTGCTGCCTGCAGGTATTACTACCCAGCAGATGCATGCAATCCTCTACATAAAATCATAGAATTATTTGGGTTGGAAGGGCCTTAAGGATCATCTAACTCCAAACCCTCCTGCTACACTTCCCTTTCTACAGGAGCAGAAGTTTCAGGTATAAATTTATAACTCTTGTTTCAATGAACTAATAAGAATATGCCACCATAAGAATGCTCTTTATTATATTATAGAGGGTAAGAACTGTCAAGCTATCATGAAAGCTGCAACTATCACCATTAATATCCCTTTGTTTCCCTCCCCCAGAATTCCCTCAGACAGAGGGAGAGACAGGATTTAAAGCTTAAGGTAGTGTCTTTAAACGTCATACTACTTAACGAGAAACGTTAAGCAGAGAAAGCAGATTTAAGGTTGAAAATAGAAAGAATTTATTAACTTGATCTTCCTTGTTCTTTATTTTGTTTGTTGGTTTTAAGGAATTGTTGCAGCAGAAAGAGCAGCTTTTCTCTGTTAACGTTGCCAAGATATAACAAAATGATGACCAGGGCAGATTTTGCTGCCTTTGGAGAAAAGCTCAAGTAGCATTTTCCAAGGCCAAGAGAATATGATGCAAGCGTGTGATTTCACTGGTAATTTTTTAAAAAAAAAAACAATCAACCAACCAACCAACAAACCATAATTTAGGGAATTTTAAGACTTACTGAGCTTATCAACTGCGTTCCAGTTGGCTGTGTATAATTAATCAGGAAAGGGCCTGAGGGACTCACTTCTACACTGGTGAAGTACTGGCAGAACACACTCAGATGGCTACATAGGTGCAACATCTTTTGCTCATATCCCTTCTCTGGTCTATTTATATGGCTGTCCTTACACAGGTTTCCTCCTTCCAGCTTGAGCATTGGGGATATAGAAGAAATGGTAGGCAAAACCTCACGCAAATACTTTGAACCTCACCTTTAGGAACAAGTGTCTTCAAACACCTAAGTAAAAAAATCCCACAACATTTTCACAGAACGTGCTGCAAAAAATAATCCTATCAAGTTTATCACCACAGGATGTTTTATTTCAGCCAAGTCACGAAGACAAAGTTATTTACTGAAAGCTTGCCAAACCCTGAACTTAATTTTTATTACATTTATGGTATTCCAAAAATAAGATAATCATCTATGATTGAGTACCTAACCATGCTGTACCCACGCACACTTGTGTGAAAATTACAGATGCATTCAGTCAAAATACCATGGAAAAAATAGCATTTCTCCATCTGAAAATTAGGCAGCACTCTTCCATTCTACTTGAAGTTAAATGCAATAAAATACATAATGGAGAAAGAAAAACAAGTTACATGAAAATGAAACCATGTAATTACTACCATAAAAATGAAATCTAAATGTTAGCCAATTTAGCCAACAAAATCTATTGTTTTTAATATATACAAAGCTGTAGATAAGATTTATTTTTTTTTTTTTAGCTATGAAATACTTTAGAAGGTTCTTCCCTTCTCCTAACTTCTTTCATTCTGGATTGTAACAGATTCAAGATGGGTAAAACTAAGCTTTTTAAATCAGAGCTTCTGCTATCCCCTCTATTTCAGAGTACAGCTTGAGAAACCGATCATTAAACTACAGATGAAGGAAGCAAGTCAGAAGGAAATGAATCCTCCCTTCAGTTAATAGCTTAAAGCACACAAAACACGAAAATTCATGAAAGGTGCAAGGGATAAAAATGGGTTAAAATTCATTATGCACGTGTGGAAAAATGTGTCATGAGCAAACTGGAGGTAAGGTGGTGGACAAGAACTTAGAATGCCTATATTCGATCCCTCAAACAGAATTACAAACACACTACTGTGATTTTGGGATTTTTATATCTTTTCTTTTACGCAGTCAATCTGTAAAATACAGAGACAAATATTGGACTTTTTTTCCACCCAAGTATGGTGGGATAAGAAAAAGACTGGGTTCCATAATGGAAACAGAAACTGTTACACAATCTGAGTGTAAGGCTTAGTCAGAAACTCCTACATTTCAGCTGTAGCTGAAAGTAGCCCATTGAAACTGCAGCCCTAAACATAAAATGTATACATTTCATACTAACAACAGTAAATTTGTAAATCATTTTACTTAACAGAATGCTGGTGCTTAACACTTTATTTCAAACTTTAATGGCTTCCAATTTTGTCCTCAAATAAAGTCTCCTGTTAATTTAACCTTTTTCCCAATCCTCTTTGACGGAGCAGATGGTCTCTGACCTCTGATTCCAAGCAAGACAGTATGATACAGAGACAGAGGTACTACTTACTGATTCTCTTGCTCCACATGAAAAGAAAATCAAAGGCATTCACAGGAAAATAGATGAGCAAGTACAGTAATACCTGACACGAGCATTGCAGTACTTTTTGGCATATTCACTCCAAGTTCCAAATCTTCTTGGAAACAGTGCCTCAATCTGCATGAAAAGCTGAATGAAAAAAAAAAAATGGTGATAGTGAAAAACCGCCTGCAAATCTATGGCTATTCAGAAATAATTGTTACATGATCATTGTGTTAAGTTTACATTCAATAGTTGCAGAAAAAGTACACAGCTAGGCAAACATACAGAAGACATTCTATAGGAATATGCAACTGTACTTGAGACAGCACAATTGTGGGAAGCCCACAATGAACAGAGCTCCCTGAACACTGTAACAGTACTGGTGCCTTGGAAAAAATTTATACTGACAATAAAACACAGATGAGAAAATGCTATTCCTAAAAACACAATTTTTGTCATTCGCCAGGTACATGGGCTTCTGCAAAGCTTCAGTGCAGGTATTTCATGAACAGTCTGTTTCTTAAAATACATGAAGCTCCTATTCATTCTTCAGTTTTACTTCAAAAAATAAAGGTGATGCAGACCAGAAATTTCAGGCCTTTCTTACAAGTTGAGTAACAGCAGGTAAATATCATTTTAGAAAACCTTAGCCAGAAAGAATCCTACGTCACAAGCTGGTAATGCTTGTTACACCCTGCCTTATAAGCCATGGCAGAACTTTAGTATCACTATAAAAATGTCTCCAACTGTTTTCCATTTGGTCATGAATTTTGACCCCACTACTCTGATCAAGAACAGCTTGTATGGAAATTCCTTTGAAGACCCTTAGCAGTTGCTTTGTATCAATGCACTGCATAAAAGTATAACACTTTCTAACTCCAGTTCTTCTTTGGGGTTGGTTGCAATGTCTTCAGTACCTGTGCAGGTAACTTTGTAAATAGCCACATCCATAGATTCAAATATTTGTTTTAAAGTTTTAAGCAAATACCCATAAGACACCAAGCTCTTTTTCATATGGTGGATAACTTTCTCAAGTTGTAAGCTCTCTGAACACATGAAATTATTAAAGGGTCTTAAGTTCTATTTACACAAAAAAACCCCCTCTAAAATATAAAGTATTATTTATATAATCATTACAAGTTCCCTGGATACAAACCAGCTCTTATGTTCCATTTATTTCTACATTTGATAAAGGCAGTTTTCTTGGGTTCAGTATAAAAATGGAGTGGTTTTTGGTTTCCTCTCTGCTCCTCCCCAGTTCCATAAGCTGAACTTCCTTCAAAGGAAAATTTTTCTTTCTGGACTGCAACAGCCATGGGATCTGTTTTTTCCCACTCATGCAATGCAATTGAACATTACCAATATTCAAAAGACTAGCAGTAAAAGACTTCCTCTATCACACAACGAAGCAGAAGATCTGATACAAGTTCTTGTCTACCAAGGATTCTCCTAACCAGCAGAAACAAATAATTCTCTGCTTAAACTCTTTATTTTCTATTTCACCCAACAGTCTGTTATATGCCCAAATAATTTCTTAGAATAAACTCTGTCTCAAGTCACCTGTACACAAGCTTGAAACAAGTTTGTGAAACATCAATATAATCAACTCAAAGACATGGGTTTAGTTTCTTGTACTTGTGCTTCCTAATGCAGGTAGCAGACTATTTGATGTCATAATGCATGTCACTGTACATATTCAAGAGAACTACAAAACTGTTCAGTTATTACTGATACCATCCTTAAAAAAACCCCAACAAATCAAACCAAAACACACTGTGTTAAATACCTCTTCAGGTCTTCCTAGAGCAGGAGTTCCAGTAAGAAGAACAGCTCTACGAGCTTTCTGTACAATTGGCAACAAAATCTTGCTGCGGGTGGCATTTCTGGATTTCATATAGTGTGACTCATCAATCACAACTACCTTAAAGTTCTGCCTGTACAAAGAGTCTACTAAAGTCTGTGCATCAGAAGTTAACAGGCCATAACCCAGAATAGTTACTTTGCTGGTTGATATTCTCCTAAAAGAGAAAATTCAAAAGTTTTCTTAGTAATTTTTCATTAGTGTGAGATGAATATAGCAAAGGAATTATACCAAACTAAATTTTGGTACGAAGGTATGTATGACACCTTTGAGACTGATTAATTAGTGGGCTGTCAGGCAAATAACAGATTTTGCTGTTTAAAACATTCTGTCATCTCACACCTATAAATCATACATGCCATAAGTATTTTCTGAAGACATACATTTCAATTAAAAGGAAGTTCAGTTTTCTGTTTGCAATGCTTCAACTTTTGCTTCTTTCCAGGAGTATCACCTGGGACAAATCCAATTTCTGGACAAAAAGTTAAACACACAAGTCAGACCATTATGAGCACACTATGTAAACGGCACCCAAACACCAGGAGTAGTAATTTCTCTGTGCAAGCTATCTACTGTTCCATGTACAAAGTCACTGCAGCAGCAGCCTAAGATGACTAACTGGACTGCCTCTGAGATTTGGGTACTGTAAAAGTACAGCCTGGGCTGAACCTCACCACCTGAAAAAAACATTCATATCAGAGCTGTCTGTCCAGAACATGAAGAAAACAAAAAACTGGAAGCAGGGAATCAACAAGGCACAAGATGAAAAATTACTATTTAGTTGGAAAAGAACTACTTATAATAAATTTAAAGACATAAAAAGGCCCAAGGCACAAATTGATTTTAAAATCACTAGAGAGCACTGTGGCCTTTCAGGAGCCTTTGAGCAGCACAGGAACTCCTCAAGTTGTTAGACAAACAAGTCACCAGAAAGTGAGTCACAGCTGGTCTAACCATCTGTCAGACACTACTGCTCTACTGGCAGGATTTTATTTGTTCTCCAGTAGTGACAGATTAAAAAAAAAAAAAAACCACAAAAAAACCCCAAAAAAACACCCCAAACAAAACCAAAAACAAATCAAACAACTAAGTTGAAGTTTCCTTGAGTATTTAAGAGGAAGAAATCATGTACATATGCCCACACATACTTCTGGATATGGAAGAGGCAATGGTCAATGCGTGATAGACTCTGGCTGTTACTGTAGAGATAAAAGCAGCAACCAGATTTTTTTTTTCACCTTTGAAGGGTAGATTAAAAAAAAACAAACAAAAAAACCAAATAAAAGTATTTATCCTTAGTGGAACCAATTTATTCAAGAAGCATCCAATTTCAAATTTAGTTAGAAATTATAAGAACCTAAGTTGATGCCTAAGTAGATTTTAACCTGTTTAAATTAAGTAGTTGAACAATATTCAAGCATTAATTTCATTGCTGAAGTTTAGAAGGAAAGCAAAATATTGAACTAAGAGAAAAATATTGAACATATGGAAACAGATTTTAACAAAATGCTAAACGGAGTTGGGCAGCTGTGTCTTTGCATTTTCTTGCAAATGCATTAAACACTTTTTAATGTTAAAGTATTAATTGGTTCAACAGCTACCTCACATAGCCAGAAAGCATTCTTGGAGTTAAACAAGCAGTAAGTGATAATGGTTAAGGTCCCTTTTAAAAAACTACAGATAAAATGAACAGAATTCTGTTTGCCATTTACTTTCGCTATCATTTCCTTATTCCACGTTTCTCCATTCTGCTTCTAGCACTATAAGCATTTAGTTTGGCTGCATTTTAGCTCAATAGCTTAAGGAAAAAACAAAAAAAGCTCATTGGATCCTGGATCCTTATTTTAGTTCCCATATTCCTATGGCAAACTTAAATTATGACTATCAGAACCTATCAGCACCTCAATTAAGCTCTTAAAACACATTGGATTTCCCTGGTTACCACAAGGAAGGTTCCAAGCTACCGCCTCATCTGCACATCTTGGCAATCAAGTCATTTCTGATGCTCCCCAGACAACATGAAGATCAGTATCCCCTATCCAGAAGTTTTAGAGCAACATCTAGATGTTACCATGAAATCAGCCAAGTCATATAGAGTAAAAAATACCCTTATAATTCAGACTTGTATTCAGACGCAAGACTTGTAGTCTCTCCTTGATGAATTAATGCTATTAAGTCTAAAGATAGAAAGCCTAGGTCACAATGACCTTTTCAGTTATACAGAGAATACTTATTCTAACCTACAAATTTTCTCAGTGTAAATAGAATTTTAACAGTAATTACTTCGTTATTTTGTGATATATACCAGAAGTTTTCCAAAACTGTTTGAAATGTTTTACAAAATCTAATGAATACAAGCTAATTTATCAGACTTGAGAAATAACTGTGCATGCTCAATTTGAGACACACTGGAATAATCTAATTTTCAGCAGTCAAGCCCTTGCTACTTTGCAAAAACTAGACCTCTCCATTTCAAAGATGACTAACCACCAAAATGGAGTAACACAAAAGCAGGAGGAGTGGCTGGCACACCAGAAGGTCACGCTGCCACCCAGAAGGACCTCGCTGGGCTGGAGAAATTGCCTGACAGGAACTTCATGAAATTCAACAAGGAGAAGTGCACAGTCCTGCACCTGCTGAAGAACAACTTAACACACCAATATACGCTGGGGGCCACCTGCTGGAAAACAGCTTAGCAGAAAAGGACCTGGGGTCCTGGTGGATAGCAAGCTGAACATGAGCCAGCTGTGTGCCCCTGCAGCAAAGGTGGCGAATGGATGGTATCCCAGGCTGCACTAGACAAAGCACTGGTGTGCTCTGCCCAGGGCTCCTCAGTGCAAAAGAGACATGGATGTACTGGAAAGAGTACAGTGAGAGGGCACAAAGATGATTAAGGGACTGGAGCACCTCTCCTAGGAGGAAAAGCTGACTGGGACTGCTTAGCCTAGCAATAAGAAGGCTCAGGGCAGGTCTTATTAATGTGAATAAACACCTGAAGGGAGGCAGCACAGATGATGGAGCCAGGCTCCTTTCTGATGTGTCCATGTTGTGTAATCCCAGAGGCAATGGGCACAAACTAAACCACAGGAAGTTCCCTCTGAACATCAGGAAACAGTTTTATTTTTTTCCACTATGGGGGTGACTGAGCACTGGAACAGGATGCCCAGAGAGGCTGTAGAGTCTCCCATCCTTGGCATCCTTGGCTGTAGAGTCTCCCATCCCTAAAATACCACCTGGATAAAGTCCTGGGCAAGCAGCTCTAGGTAGCCCTACCTAAGCAGAGGGGTTAAAAAAGCCTTTCTACAGAAAAGTAACAAACTTTACTCACCCAGTATCAGTTTTGTTCTGAATGATGCTAATATCATCTGGAGAGAGCTCTGGAATCCACTTCTCCATCTCCTCAACCCAAGGGTATCTCAAAGATGAAGGCACTACAATTAAGAGAGGCCATTCATTTTTGTAGTAATAGGAAATGGCAACTGCTTGAATGGTTTTACCTAGCCCCATCTGGAAAAGAAAAGAAAAAATTATAAATAGAAGTCTTTGCTTAGAAAGCATGTTCTATTCAGAAGAGCCAAAAATATTTTGCAAAGACAGAACCAGATAAAGGAAACAAATCCAAAGACCTAGTACACAGTATCTACTTCATTGCCAGTTTGATACCACTGATCACCTTTTATGAAAGAAGATGCTTTTGTTTACATGGATTAATAGATATATTGTCCCTCTAAAAGAAGCATTTATTCAGGGCCTTGGTAGGGCACACTATAAAGATCAAAATGTCTAACTTGTTACGATACAAAAACTATACAAAGGAAAGAAAAATATGGCATGTCTTCTTAACATAAAAGTCACACCTTATCCTAGATTGCATAGGCAACTGAAGAACAAAGAAAGATTACAGGATCATTTAGGTTGGAAAAGACCTTTAAGATCAAGTCCAGCCACTCACCTAACTACCAAGGCCATTGCTAAAGTATGTCCCTAACCTCCACATCTACATGACATTTAAGCTCCTCCAGGGATGGTGACTCCACCACTTCTCTGGGCAGCCTGCTCCAGGGCTTGACAACACTTTCTGTGAAGAAATTTTTCCTAACGTCCAACCTAAATCTTCCCTGACGTAACTTGAGGCTGTTTGCTCTTGTCCTATCACTTGTTATTTGTTAGAAGAGACCAACCACACCTGGCTCCAACCTCCTTACAGGGAGCTGTCAATAGCAAGATGGCCTCCTCTGAGCCTCCTTTCTCCAGGCTAAACAACCCCAGTTCCCTCAGCCCCTCCTCATAAGACTTGTTCTCTAGATCCTTTACCAGCTTCGCTGCCCTTCTCTGGACCCACTCCAGCACCTCAGTATCTTTCTTGTATTGAAGTGCCCAAACTGAACCCAGTATTTGAGGTGTGGCCTTGCCAGTGCTGAGTACAAGGCAATGATCACTTCCCTACTCCTGCTGGACACACTATTTTTGATAGAAGCCAGGATGCTGTTGGCCTTCTTGGCCACCTGGGCACACTGCTGCTCATATTTAGCCAGTTGTCAATCAGTAGCCCCAGGTCCCTTTCTGCCAAGCAGCTTTCCGGCCAACCTTCCTCAAGCCCAAGAATCCTTTTAAGCACTGAAGCAGACACTGGCCTTAAAATATTCTGTTCAGGTTTTCCACAGGGTCCAGTGGATATTTTGAGTTGATTTGCTGCTATCTAACTACTCCCAGTACAGACATAAAAGAACAGTTTACTTATACCCTCAGTATTGAGTTTAAATGGATGAATGTTATGGTATTACAAAGAGATGTCCCAGGTACAGGAAAAAACAATGAATATTTCTACTATTACTAGAAAGAAAAATAATTAGATAACAAGTTTTCATTAAAATTATCCTGCAAGCCCTGACACCACTCGAGCCATCTGAAAACAAATCCAAGTAAAAAAATAAACAATATTGTCATTTTTAGTTTGTTGCCACAGTTGTCTCTAACTTAGACTGCCCAGTCACTGGTGTACTGTTGACGATCTAGATAACTGAGTTTAAATGAGCAGAAAATAAAAGGCAACTCTCTTGCCAGCAGTGCACCCACATCTCAGTCTATATCCCATACAGCAGATCACCAGTCCAGACTGTAAGAATGTACTAATTACAAGAAAAACTCCAGAAAACACTATGTTTTGGGGTTTTTATTTAAGCACATCTCAGTCATGGAAATGGATGACATGGAAATAGTGGAATTTTAAGGGGAAAGTGTTGTCTTTTCCCACCCCAAGAAAGAATGGCAAGATATGTTTAGAATACCTTTTAAAAAGATAATATTATTATTGTACTTTAATCCTTGCATAATTCAGGTATATGTACAGTAATAACATGATCTCTAGTTTTAATATTTAACTGCTCTTTGTATACATGTTCAAAATACTCATGTTTTCTTTTATCAACATTTTCTTCTTATTTTAGAGATACATCAACAAGGGCAAGATACGCACCACTGCACAAGACTTCCTCCAGTGCCCTGTCATGATGAAGTATGCATTATTTACTGCAGAATAAATGTATCTTGCAGTTCTTCTTATTGCTAACAATTAAACACAGTTTATTTTCTCATACAAGGAATGAAATAAGAAACTTTGTTTTAATAAACAAATAGCAACTGCTGATACTTTGATTTTCCCCAAGCTTCCCTTTCTCCTTCCCTGAATGCTTTAGTATTCTCCAGAGTTTCCAGAAATCTCACATTCTATGACAGGATAGTTAACTCCAGTTGTAATGAGATTTTAATAGTATGAGGAGATGCTTTAATCCCAGTAATCCCTCACCCCCACACTGTTTCAAGAAAACCCAAATTAGAATTGGGAGGCTATATCAATCCCTAAACATTATCTCTTTTTCAGTTAGGTTTTATATTGACAACACAACAAGAACATTTTAGTCTTACAAAAATGTTTTATCTGTTGGAAGAAATGCTGGACTCCAATTTCCCTAATATGGAATAAAATACAAATTTTCAAATGAATGGAAGTAATGAATGTCATTACTACTTGATTCATGCATTCAAGAAAATTCATCTTTGGAAGGTATATCTGTTCAGAATCCACATCTTTCGGCCAGGAATATCTCTAATCCATCAAAAATACCCAGTTATGCAATTATAAAGTGCTTAAAAAAAAATCAACTAAGTTAATATTTTGAAGATTTAGCAATACAAGAGATTTAACTACATAAATACAATCAAAAGTAATTTTCTCAAAGATTCTTTTCAGCTTATGTCAGGCTTCTCTCCCTTCCCCCATAGATATTTTCAGAATATCTGCTCAGTATCACAGGATACTGATCTGCTATCACACGAATTAAGCTTCTTCCATTATCAACCTTTCTGCCCACATCTCTCAAACAAAAGAAGTCATAGCTGCATAAAGTACATTAAACCAAGAAAACCAGTGTTAGAGGAACAGGTACATCACTTACCTCATCAGCAATCATACACCTGAAAAAGAAACGAGAAGGGGAAAAAGAAGAAATTAATAGGAAATATAACAGATAAATAAAAACTTACAAATTGTTTACTATAAATTTAAGTTATGGATTTACTGTATCAATGAAAGGAAAAAAATGTAGACTTCCTACTGATACCAACTATGAAAAGTAAATTTGGCATGAATTTAACGTACATATGCCAATTATTCTAAAAATGATAAGTCCAATTTGTTGGCACTACTGAAGGACTTTCATTCTAAAACTGACTTGCTGCTTTAGTCTTGTGCTATATGAATTGCAATCTTAAAAGACATTTTCAAGGCAAGAAGTGCATCTTCAATTTTTTTTTTTTGTCTGTCAGAAACATTGTTGTTTTTGTTGCTCCATAATTAAGGATTATTTATATGTCAGACTCATTTCAAAAAGCTGCTTTCCAAGGCTGTCCCATTTGTTCTGAAACAAAACGAGCCACTCCCTCTCCTCTACCAATTGTGCTAGTTCAAGCATTGGAAAATTAACCTGATTTTTTTCCCCATTTTGGAGTCACTTAGTTAATACTACTCCATGCAAAGACAATTACAACTCCAAGTCCCCTGTCAAAACTATTAAGTTCTGTTCAATATATTTACATCTTCTAAACATTAAATGCCACCTTTGATAATAATTTCTTGTAGGTATTTGAAGTTATTTAGCTTATTTCAATTATTTAGTATGTACATTCTTAAGTAGGATCTAGGGAATTTAAATGTTTCTGGCCTATGCAAGCGTCTTCAAATCTTTCAGACTGAATGAAGGACAAAGGAAATTATTTATTTGATGGACATTCAGTTAGGCCATTAAACGGATGATGCTACATCTTTCCAAATGTGTACCCTCAGTTATTTCACAGACTTTTACTTCTGCTCCTTTACAAACTTTTCCAAGCTGGAAAAAAAAACCAAGCACAAACCCCCAAAAAAACAAAACCTAACCAACAAGCCTATCTAATTCAAAAGCAATACCTAAATCTTAAAAAAGCTTGTTCTACCTCTAGCAGTTAGTAGATAAAATACATGTATTAAACTCACACACACTAACAAATTCAGAGGAAAGCACTAGTACAAGCAAAATCTGGGGAGATAAGAAAAAGGCAAGGACACAATCTATTCTGAATCTCACAGTGAGATGACTAGAGTTCCCTTTTCTCCTACAGCAACCCTGGACTGCATGAATATACAGATTTACTTAGTATCTTCTGACCAGAATCAATGCCAGGAATTCCAGGGCAAGATCTGAGATATGCACAAAGTGTGAATTTCTGCAACTTTGTAAGAATTGTCAGAGTTCAAAAGTAACATCTGCTTGGGATGTAATTAAATAACTGGCAATTAGATTAATTCTCTAGCTACTAAGTAAACTGCCAAGTTTTTAAAGCATTGCATAGTTTTCTAACTTGTCATAAAAAGCAAAACTGGACAAATAGTTCCCATCAGTCAGTATCACTGTGCCATATAAAGGGCATGGGCTTAGTCAAACCATTGACTAAGAAACACAGACGTGAGTGCAGTTGGTTGAACTGATGGCAATAGACTGACAGCTCTATGCAGTCCATCACTTTGCTTGAGGATTTATAAATGTTTACTGGCAGAAAAAAGTGCCAGGTCTCACAAATGATGAAATATTTCAAGCTCTGGAAGGGAACATCCTTCACAGGCCACTCTGCTGGGCTCAAGTATCATTCTATCTTGTGCTTGTTACTTCTTATCTGCCTTAGCTTTCAGACATGGACACAAACTAGTCTTGATGAATTGCTCTAGATGAATTCTTCTCCACAGTCTGTTCCCAGCCACTACATCTTCTATGGAAACTGAAACTTCTGCTCCTGTGCCACGTAGCTAGCTGGGCATGCACTACACCACGTAACCCAAACGCAGTGTTCTTTCTGTGCACAAATGGAAAAAAGTCTTCCAGGTCTCCATGTTTATAATAACATCTAATGCACCAAGATATAAGTGTTCTGTATTTTGATACCAAAAAATCTTTCCAAGGAATACAGAACTTATTTTTAGCGGTAGGTGCTCTGAAGTTAGTGCAGCTACCCAAAATCACAACAGAAGTTGCCTTTGCTGCACAAACACTAATGATTAATACATAATCAACTTCAAGCTGTCATTATGTCTAATAACATGCATCTTGCATTGGGGACAAAAGAGACATTTCTACAGACAGAATACAAATCTCAGCACAAAATGTGCACTGGCACTTTTCAGACATGATGTGCAAGATAAATGTTTGCTGTTCTGAGAAATGGGGCATACTGCTGTTTCCTCACTCTTTCTGCCAGTGTAAGTTTCAACATTTATCAATTTCATCAGTTTCATTCAACTAAGATTAAAAAAAGAACTCTAAATGTATCTTACATAACTGAATTTTTTATAAGTAACAAATTATTTACCTGCAATAGTTTTGTAACCACACTGCCTTCCCAAGTTGTTAGGGGTGGAGTGATGAAAACAAAGGAAGAAAACATAACTGCACAAACCCCCAAGTCTGCACAGATTTACAATGGGAAAAAGGTGGGAAGAATATTATTTTTAGTGGCGACTCATTCATTGTGGGGTTCACGATTAATGACTGTGATTTGCATCTGGGCAAAGACATTTATTTGCAGCCAACTAATAGACAATTCTAATTTTAAAATAATGTCAGGTTTTGCTCACTTCAAAGACTGATTTTTTTTTTTTTTTTTTTGTTTAATACTCACTGTAAATTGCATGAACCGAAGTTTCATAAAATCAGACAATCCCTATACTTGGAAAGGACCTTCAGGATCAAGTCCACCCTTTCTCCCAACATTTCCCTAATCACTAGACCACAGCCTCGAGTGCTACATCTACTCGTTTTTCGAACACTTCCAGGGACGATGACTTCAAAACCTCCCCTGGTGCAATTTGAGGCCATTCCCTCTCCTCCTATCATCAGTAACTTGGGAGAAGAGGCCAACACCAGCCTCACTACAAACTCCTTTTAGGTAGTTGTAGAGGGCAATAAGCTCTCCTCTCAGTCTCCTCTTCTCTAGACTAAACAACCCCAGTTCCCTCAGCTGGTCTTCCTAAGGCATGTTTTCCAGCCCTCTCATCAGCCTCACTGTCCTCCTCTGGACTCGCTCCAGCACCTCCATGTCCTTCTTATCCTGTGGTGCCCAGAACTGGACACAGTGCTCAAGGTGTGGTCTCACGAGTGCCAGGTGCTCCCTACTCCAGCTGGTCACACCGTTTCTGATCCAGGCCAGGATGCCATTGGCCTTCTTGGCCACCTTAGCACACTGCTGGCTCACGTTCAGCTGTCTGTCCACCAGCACCTCCAGGTCCTTTTCCACCAGGCAGTTTCCAGCCACTCTCCCCAAGCTTGGAGAGTTGCCTGGGGTTGTTGTGACCCAAGTGCAGCACCCAGCACTTGGCCTTGTTAAGCCTCCTGCACTTGACCTCAGCCCATTGCTCCAGTCTGTCCAAATTCTTCCTACTCTCCAGCAGGTTGACACTCCCACTTAATTTTGTGTCATCTGCAAATTTGCTGAGGGTGCCTTTGTTTCCCTCATCCAGGTCATTACTAAAGATATTAAACAAGACTGGTCCCAAAACCAAGCCCTGAGGGACACCGCTCGTGACCGGTCACCAGCTGGATTTAACTCTGTTCACCACAACTCCCTGGGCTCAGCCACACAGACAGTTTTTAACCCAGCGAAGAGTCCACCTGTTTGCAAAACACATCTATCTTTCTGCAGATTCTTTCAGTGGCAAACTGCTTTCAGTACATTAATCATGTTTTTTAAAAATAATTTGAAACCTGAAATCAATGGGGATGCACAACCACCTAGTGTCCCAGTGTTCTGTCCAGTGCTCTGTAAGGAGTTTTTAAACTTTTTACAGAAATGCAGAGAATAAGTAAGACTATAGCAATTAGCTACAGAGCAGAGGCATCTCAAGAATAAACCAAACACATTCTTCAACAATGCAGTATGGTCATTCTATGACTCTATAGTTAATATAAGGATATCAGAGCAAATGTACAACTAGAGCAGTAACTCAGAGTCTATTCCATCTAAGTAGCATCTGGTAGTAAGGAAACGCAGTAAAGAGGACAGCAATACAAATGGTCCTTGCCAACTTGTGCTGACAAATGCAGTATTTCTCAGCATACCAACTTATATTTTAGTAGAATTGCATAAATAAATGTTAATTAGGCCCATTCAGACAAGCAGAAATCGAAGTGAGAATACATAATACCCTACTGCACTGTTCTTTGGCATATGTGAACTACTTGGACCCTCACTTTTTTTCAGCATGACAAGCTAAAATGAAGACATTCAGAGTAATTTATAAATTGCTCTGACAACGAGAAGCTGAATAGCAATTAAAATAAAAAGCCTTAAAAATATGTCAACCACAGAAGTAGAAGTTTTTTCTATAAAATCAGATTTTTTTTTCATTAGAATGAACTGTAGCCACTTCAACTTTGAGTACCTGCCAAAGAACAAGAAGTTGTCTTGTTTTTCTTTTGCACTCATTTTCAGACACTGCTGGTAGGATCTTTGCTGCTATAGATTATCTTCTGTTTTCAGGTCTGTTAACTTCCACTTAATGTGTCTGAAGTGAAACTTCTTACCTATCTGCAGCAAAGTTGCTGGTTTGTAAATATTTATAGACACTAAGTATTCTGTTGCTGGTAAATGAATGGAAACATAAAGTAACTGCCATGATTTTATCCATAACATAACTCTTAAAAGGTAATCATGGTAAAGTGATCAATACAGATTTATCTTCCTTGTTTCCACAGTACCAATACAACTAAAGATTCTGCAGGAGCACCTATATACTTGAAAGTTACATATTTATAATGAAATATTGCTATTTAGTTAAGTATTCACTCTTTTCTCCCACCCAGTGATGAAAAAGCTTTGTCATAAGTGGTTTGGATTTTCTTCCTATATTTGTAACCCATACTTTTTCCAGTCATTTAAACATTTGACTA